ATAATCAATTTTACATAGGGATGTTATTATAATTTTTAATACGTATATAATTTATTTATTTGAAATTTTTACAAACAACGTTATATGAATATCATAATTTTTCGCGTACCATCAAAATTTGACAAACGGGCCACTTTTGACACATATGCGCCGTGGGTTCGCCCCTCCCCCCTAAACTAGGTGACCAAACTCTTTCGGAATAAAAGTTCCATGTGCAACATCGACACATCATTATACTATGTATACCCACCTAAACCGGCTATAGTTAAAAAACACAATAATATTATATTTGAAATTTGAAATTTTTGTAATAGTATATTGTGTAACTATATACCGAGTCCGGTATTACCGATGAGACTCAATTAATTTATCAATATTTTAATATTTAACATTTTTTTCAAAACTAAAAATTGAAAACAATATTATATTATTATGTCCATATGGACCGTATTTACATACCAATKTGGCTATATTTATTGGCACTTGACTTCGTCAAATATTCGATTTCAAACATGTAATAAATACCTACTGTCTACAGTATACTCGAATTAAACTTATTGTTAGTTATTAATTTAATACTCTAAGCGTTGATAATTATAAGCTTTGAATTTAAAAACAGATTTGTAAAAAATCTTTAATTCATTTTTCAGTATTCTGAATACATTATCCAGTAATGAGGTCGGTGATTAATTAAATGATTATAGCGTTCAGCGTCCACAATAGGTATATACATATAGTGTAGGTATTTTATTATTATTAATAAAATAACATAGAGATGTGTGGTTGTATATATATTATGGTTAATTTAATTTTTAATTTTTATTTTAAATGGTTACAAATTATAACACGATGATTATCTGCGTATTGTATTCGAATGAAATATTAACGAAAACAGGAAGTGTCGCTTATTTTTTGTCAGTTGGCTGTGATACAATTTTGATGATTTCCTCGATGTGTTCATCTATCTGTTTGTTTCGATATGCGATAACTTGTTTTAGTTTTTCTACTCGGTACTTATTCTATTTAAAATATAATATTACAGAAATGTTTTACATTTAATTCTCTGTGACATTTAAAATGTAATTATCAATATTTTCTTACTTCTTTATAAAAATATTTTTCTTCCGAAGAAGCTTCGTGTTCGCTTTCATCTGATTCTCCGATTGAACCTCCTCCGCCGAATCTACCACTTCCCACATCGACACTTTTGTACCGGTTATATCTATAAAACATACACGACAACACAAATGAACACAAACTATATACAAACATATAAATATTGTAATAAATTTAAATGTTTATGCTATACAGTTTACACACAATTATATTAAGATCTAATTGTAAGTATACTCATATAAGCCCAACTATATCCAAAATTTCTTTTTAAACACTAAACTCAATAGAAGGGATGGGCCGGTTCTGAGTTCCATGACTTCTTTAGGAAGTTATCGGTTCTTGTACACATTTTTATCGGTACCGGTTCTTTTTTTCTACTGTGATAAGCTACTTAGTACTTATTATTATTAATTATTTCTACATTTTTAATGAACTGTATAAGTAAAATAATGTGATATACATTTAATATTTAAATATTAATCGTTATTATTCTGGTTTAATGATCAACTATTTTAATTCTTTATAAATTATAGTATTATACAGTAGAGTAATTAATTACTATTCTTAATTTTGAGACATTTTTTTATTTTAAAAGAAGTACCGGTATAGAGAACCGAAGTGGAATATTTTGGAACCTTACAAGAACTGGGATCGATAATTTTCTAAGAACTGGACTATCACTTATACTTACTAATATGTTTAAGTACTCATAATTTATAGTGTGCCTATAGGAAGAGCCTGATTTACCAAATATATGGCCCAGGGGCCAGGACAAAATAAAAAATTTGCAATATGTATATAATATGTAGTATATAAATTAGGCCATGTGTAATATATTTATTACATAGTCAGTGATAGTCAAAGGTGGGCCGCTTGGCCATGTGTGGCCCCAGGACAAATGTCTATTTTGTCCGTGTGTAAATATGGCCCCATAATATAGGTAAGAATCTCAAAATTTTAATCGCATTATGTGTTTTCATTACAAATTAAAGACAATATAGGTAAGGTAAGTACTAAAAAAAATCTTACCCCATGGTTGTCGACGTATTTTGTGTGTACAAGTATAAACACTTGTTAGTTTTTCTTATAAATGCATTCATTTTAACTGATTTTTCCGCTTTAATATGTTTTCTTATAAACATGCATACAGGAGTATACTACAGGACTCATAACCATAACTAAATGTTTACAAGTCTACAAACTAACTCTGGTATAAAGTAGACAATAAAGTAATACATATGAATAATAGTTTTACAAACTACCAAAAACTAAACAACACCATTATATTAACATTAGTTTCTCATTAGTGCACAATATTAACCTTGTTCTTATCTATTTAAATAACAAAAACAAAATGTACGTAATATAAACTTAATCATAATGTTTCAATAAAAAATAACATAAATTTTATGGATATCAATGATCAAAAAAAAAAAAAAGTCATTAAAAATAATGAACAGTAATTCAAATTAATGACTTCTGAACGACTAAATCAAAAGATAATCATAGTTACGATTATATCACTATTCACTTTTATGTTATGGTTATGTAAAATATGTTGAATTTTCATTCATTATTGATACACAATAATATACCTAATAATTATGCATAGTATGCAGCATATAGCTGGTACCAACGAATGACAATTTTGAGCGGACACAATGTTTTTTGTTTCATTTATAAATAAGACAATATGATAGAACGACAAACAAATTGTATAGCTTTTAAAATGTGCGTAGTTATTATTATATTCTGTGGGAAGGAAATCCATACACCGCAAAATTCAAAAACAAGTAAAATGTTTACAAGGAAAATGCCAGCAACAGGTATCGGCTGCACCTAAATACAAAAAAAAATTATCATTTTTGAATATAATATTTATTTTTTTGTCAACCTCTAAATCACCATTAATTATTTCAAGGAAAAACACATTTTGGAAGGTGGTAAGACGCTCCTTTCTCTTTTAAATCTAAGAAGTAACAGCGACAACACTTGAAAGATTATTTTTCGTTCCTTTTCCTGGTTAAAACTAAGTTTCAAAATATTTTTTTTTGCAAAATCAGATAACCGGTGCCGTAAATTGTATATCTAAAAGGTTTATTAAAGACAATTTTCGTGTTTTGACATTCTATAATACGGTCTTAATTTTTTTTTTTTCATTAATTGCTATATTACTGCAATTACTAATAACAGGCGTACATGTAAGTATCACAGATTAAATAAAATGTATGTTTTTAATCTGTTTACTATTACTCATTATTTTAATCTGTGCATCATGAACCACCATATACATACATCTCAGAATAACCCTACAATTTAGGCTTGCCATTCGTCCCGGTTTGACCGGGACAGACGGACAGTCTCGGTTTTTACAGCATGTCCCGCTGCCCGGCCGGTCATTAATTTTGTCCCGGTTTATGGAAGACAAGAAAAAATAACTTTAATATTATTTTGTTTAATAATAAAACATAGAATAATATTATACATGGAATTTATGTTGAACTTGTTATGAATTTTATTTAAAAACTAAAAGTAATACCTACAGCTGTGTATTGAAAACAATTCATTCAACCGAAAAGTATGAACATTAGGTTATTACTAACAATTAACAAATGTAAATGCAGTATATGTAGTTTATGTGAAAAATTGTATTAGTTAATACATTTTTCAATTAAAATATGAGATATTATTAACTCCCGTATAATTATACAAAAAAAGGTTTTTACTATTTTTATTAGCTTCTAGTATTAAACTATGATAGCTCAACAATTACAATTGAACATGATAATAAACGAAAAAAAAGGTTATTCAATATGATTTGAAACGCCACGGTTTGGCGTTTTTTAAATCTTACAACCCTATCTTACATCGTACATATTATTAATATTTTGTACATTTTCCCTACATCGTTCGTTCGTGTTGTGCACAATCATGCTCAATGCACATCACAATATCATCACAGATTATTTTCCATGAAAACAGAATTGTGCACTTCCTATGCTGCAATGTAAAAAATGAATAAGGTGCTCTGATTGGTCTCCRYCCAAATCAGTGTAGCCACAAAAGTAGTAAAATATAATGGTAAATTATTGTCTACAAAAAACATATTCTTTTAAATTTTTCACAATATCAAACAATTTATTAACAATTAAAAATGATACAAATTACAATATTGA